AGCCGGTGAGATTTGAACAGCCGAACTGCAGAACTGCAGTCAGCTGAAGTAGCCTGCAGTGCTGCATTTAACCACTGCGCCACCTCGGCTCAATACATTTCCACCCAGCCATAAACAGACTTGTCATACCTCCAAGGGTGCTTGACAGCAAATGTTACAGTACATGACTGTAGATTAGGAAATTTCAACTAAATTGTATGTATGTATGTATAATTTATATAATTTCTAGTACAGTTAAACACTCTTACACTGCAATTTAACCATTCACAGATAATTAGCTCCTATTTTTGTAGAACACACAAATAATACAATTAAGCATTGCATAATGGCTCCTAATGTCTTTATAATAACATTACATATTCGGAATTGCCATTTAGTGTCCATTTATTGTATTGTTATATAATTGCTAAATTTTCTTACGGAAGGGGGAAAAGATATGATGGAACATACAGTTAAAAGTACTAGCATATGATAGCATCATTGTAAATAAATGCTTAAGTTATGACTATATGCATCATTTATGGGTTGTCCACTAAAGAAAATTATATTATCCTTTTCTTCTTATTTTATTATTATATGGAAATTGATTATATGGAAATTGGTGGGGTAGTTAAGGTACCAAGCTAGGAACCAGGAGACTGTGAAGCTTGCTTTAGGGACAAAGCCAGTTAAGTGATTGGGCCAACGATAACTCTTTCAGCCCTAGGAAAAAAGCTATGACAGGTATTCATTCACACAGGATTGAAGAATGACTCAGAGGCACAACCCCACCTTCCAATATTCTTAATGATCTAGTCACCTCATCAATTCCTTATCATGTAAGTTGACACAGAGTTCAGTGACTGTATTGCAATCATGTTCTAAATCATACTGAACTTTGGCCTGCCAGCTATAATAATCTTTAAACAGAATGATGTCATTCGCCTTACTAGACCTGAAGTTAGGCAGTTAGAAGAAGTTAGAAGGAAAGAAGGGGAATATCCCAACAAAGTTTTATCTTCCATACTTTGGATGCTGTCTGTAAATGTAGGGTTCAAAGTTGGAGGTTATCCATAGGAAAGGTTTACAGTGTATAAAGTCACCAATATCTTCATCAGCAATCCTCATTGCATCAAAAATACATCGTAATATTATTCATGGTCTTAAAATAATAACTTTATATACGAGGGCAACTAATTCAAGGGGTGGCATAAATATTTGCAATAAATGGACAGTTTTAATTTGATTTTAGCAACCAACAGTTAGGACTTTGTGATCCTGTCTAGACCATCGAAGTAGCATTTCTCTTGATTTCTTGCTAGGATTACTAGCTAGCAATTGCAGTTGCAACACATTTGCAGGACCTCATCTTTGGATAGGATGGTCCAAACCATAGCATTGATGTCTTGTCCTTATCTTGGCTATAATCCATATTTGGCTTTACAGTTGGTAATCAGACTGCAGCTCAAAGCTGTCAGACCCTGTGGGTGCAAACTATGCTTCAAATGCTTTCTTTCCCTTCCCTTCCCTTGTAGGATTTATGTGGGCATCATTCATGTGATACTCTGGGAATGGCTGACGTTGGAACCATATGCTCTCCTGAACGCAGCTGTGCAGTGATTGAAGATGACGGCCTTCATGCGGCTTTTACAGTGGCTCACGAAATTGGTATGCAGCGCCTTTTTTTTTGTTCCCGTGCCAAATACAACACTTGTAACAGCTGCATTAGAAACCAAAATACCCTACAAGTAATTCCAGATTTTCCCCTGATTCTGATATTCATTTGGGGATTAAAGCTGTGTGCACATGCATGCACTTTGGGGTCAATTGTTAGGGAACTGAAGGCAAATAAAGGTATACAGTAGCATACCTTTCTGACAATATCTCTTCTAGGAACTAGCTACAGTGGCAACTGGGAAGTTTCTATCTGTACAGAAAGTTTTTTTAAATGTTCTATCTATAAAGAACTTAAGCATTCTTATTAGTAAACTGGGTAATTTAATAGATACTTGTATTCCTAACAAGATATTTATAGATCTAAGGTAAACAAAAGTAAGGTTCTATATTTAGGCAAGAAAAACAAAATGCACACATACAGTATAGGTGGTACCTTGCTCAATAGTAGTAACTGTGAGAGGGATCTTGGAATCCTAATGCACAACCATTTAAATATGAGCCAGCAGTGTGCAGCAGCTGTCAAAAAAGCCAACACAGTTCTAGGCTGCATAAATAGAGGAATAAAATCAAGATCATGTGAAGTGTTAATACCACTTTTATAATGTCTAGGTAAGGAGGGAGTCAAGTTATTCTCCAAAGGACTTGAGGGTAGAACAAGAAGCAATGGGTGGAAACTAATCAAGGAGAGAAGCAACTTAGAACTGAGGTGAAATTTCCTGACAGTTAGAACAATTAATCTCCAGAAGTTAGGAATGCCCCAACACTGGGAGTCTTTAAGAAGATGTTGGATAGCCATTTGTCTGAAATGGTATAGGGTTTCCTGCGTAGGCAGGGGGCTGGACTAGAAGACCTCCAGGGTCCCTTCCAACTCTGCTATTGTATCTAATTGGTCTGTTTATACTGTACTAACTTATTCTTCTGTAATCACAAAAAGTTAATCAGAAATTTTGATGAAAGGAAACTCTTTTTCCATAGGGATTCATTATTACCGTAATATAATGTTTAGGGCAAGCTAGGTAAAGGATATAATATAATTGAAATAATCAGCACTATTTCACCTGGAATTGTAAATAATTATAAAATAGACTTTGGAGAGCTTCTAGTCCAACCCCCTGCTCAGGCAGGAACACCTGTACCATTTCAGTAAATGGAATAGAAGAGATCTGACAACCATTTGTCTTAAAATATTACCATACCCTAGAGATAATTATACTTCCAAGAATCTACTTATGATATCTGCATTGTCATTCATATCATTTTTAACAAAACAGGATACAATGCAGTGATGGATTGTTTTGCACACATCCTTGGCTTAGTTTGGAAGTGGCTTATAAGTAGTGTATTTGACATGATAGGTTCGTTTTTTAAAAAGTCCTAAGAATTCAGAATCATTCTTCATCATATAGTAGTATATGTACAGAGAACAAATGTTTTTGTTCATTTGCAGTTCTACATGAAATTTGTTTCTTATCACTACAAAGACAGCACAAGCCTTGTTCAAATTCATGTCAGGGTTGTTTGTCATGCAGTACTGTGTATGAAAATGCATTTTCTCACAGTATGCCTCTCCCAGTTAGAAGCAGAGGTTTGATGTAGAGAAAATAAAGGGATCAGCCTTCTTACAATTCCGCAAAATGGCCTAACAAGATAAAATATAGTGTTGTAAAGACTGTAAGATTCCCATCTAACATCCTGTGGTCATTTCAAGGCATTTTAGGCAATTATAATTTAGCTTTCATTGTTTTTCACCACTACCACATATCTAAACATGTGACAGAAATATGTCAATGGTACTGCATTTAATGGATGGTTCCTGGCTTCCTTCAGTGGCCAAATACTGATGTTATTCAGGAAGGCCTATAAACAATCGATATAAGTTCATGAAAAGATCAACAGATGGAAGAAATAAACACAATGCTTGCTGTATAGAATGAAATCTTCCAGACAATACAGTCAAGGTGAAGCAAAGATTGCAAAGAAACTGTTCAGAACTTCAACAAATATAGTTATTTTATAATGTTATTTTACACACAGAATTATTTATGGTCCCACTGATATGTCATGTTCTTGAACTAATTTGTTCAGTGAAATTTTAATAGATTTTTATCAAGAAAGATGTTCACGCTCAACCTAAAATATGTGACATATTTGGAGACCTCTTTTTATGGAAACAATTCAAGAAGATACTGTTTTTCAAATAGCCATTCCATAGAATAGAATAAAGCAACAACTATTCAGTATTAACAGCACCTAAATCCCAGAGACAAGTAACCTGATATTCTCAAGGTCTTTTAGATCAATCTCATGATACACGATAAGGGGAAGTGGGAATTGTGCATAAAAACATCTGCATGGCACCAGGTTGCTTAACACTTTATGTCCTGTAAGACTTTTCTCTAGATTCAGACCACCCCAAGAAAAGCAGACAGGAAACTTTAACTTGTCTATAGAAATATTGTGTTATTAATTTGAATAACATAATTTCCCAAAATCAGTGTCATCAGTACTATCAGAAAAATGAAAAACCCAACAAGACCAATGTGGAAATCTTAGAGTGGGCTTAGTAGGTCTAATGAAAAATATTATCTTATCTTGCCCCACTAATGAAAATGATTGAAAATGCTGTAACAGTAGCACAGCTAATAATGCTCTTTATAATCTGAGGACAGTTTTGTAGCATGGCTAAAGACAGACTTGTAGGAGAAGCATCTAGAACTATCATTGTTTTTTATAAATTATTAAGTATTCTAACTAGTGAATCAGGATTGTGATCCACGTATGGATTTTTATGATTGTGTCATAGAACTTGCCCAATAAACTATCCTTTCAGCAAAAATGTCATAATGAATATATTCCATTTATGAGTGGAACACAATTAAATGGAACATCAATTGGATTTAGGGCTTATTCTCATGTGCTGTCTCTTGTGACTGAAAGGTATTTTATTCATCATTTTAAGGATATGTCTTTGTGATGCCACTTTCATCTCCTAATCAGCTTATTATTGAGGCAACCTTCAACTATCTTCAGTTCTAGTTTGGAAGTAGTATTTTCTATCTTCTCCCAAGACAAAATTTCCCAAGCTGACAAGCGAAGACACCTCAGTGGTAAACTTGAGATGACACAGTCAAGGACAATGATCTGCTTGGCTTTAGTTGGCCTACAGATCTGCTGTGGGGTCCCACTCCAGTTGATTATCAGACACTGGGTGTTTCACTTGTGAGAGACTATATTCCATTCTTATACTGGAATATCAAACTCACAGAACAATAGATCTGCTATTTGGTGTTTGTGTTGTGCATATACAACATATAATGTTGAATGTGATGGAGAGATGGTAAAAGGGAGGGAGGGAGGGAGGGAGGGAGAGAGAGAGAGAGAGAGAGAGAGAGAGAGAGAGAGAGAGAGAGAGAGAGAAAGTATGGTTCATGGAGGGGGAGAAGCCGTATCTCTGACCAAAATTTATTCCCATGGAAAACTGGACAGAGAGAAAGCAGAAATATTGAGAGATTCTGTCTCAAGCTTGAGTGCTTTGTATTTCAAATTACTCTTCTCATTGCCCATACAGTTCTGAGGGGGGGGGGGTTGGTTGGCATGAGTATATTCCTCTTCTATCTATTTCTCTAAAAGAAATGTACTGATTTAATTACAGTAATTATTTTATAGTTCAGCAGTCCCATCAGACCAAGCACACAGTACATAATTAAAAAAAAGTCAATGTTGTCTCATAGCAACTGTATAGAGAGATAATCTGTCTGTAATTTGGTCTTTCAGTGAGGTACCCATCATCTCTATTGCAGAGTCCATTTACCTTGCTGCTTCCTCTTCTCTTTCCTTCCACCTTTCCCAGCAATAGAACTATGTCTTCAAATAAGGTGCACGAAGTAGGATAATTTGAGCCTAATCATTTGTACTTCGTGATAATGATGATATTTAAATATTATTATTATTTTAATTTAAAAAAACAAGGCTTGATGCCTCAATCTTTCCCTATGACAGATTCAGGACAGCAATTTCTTGTTGGTTTTCCCACTGTGTGGGACAGGAAAGGATAGCAGGAGTTCTTTGTTTGCTATCTAAAATTCCTGTATTGAAACTCTGTAAGAGCACTGCTGAGGTGTGGTAAAGATAATTTGTGAGGGCACCACATTTTAGGTTGATATATTTTTCTCCCAATTTATAGATGCGAGGAAAGCACATTATTAGGGACATGAAAAAGGCCCTTTTGTCTCTTTTCTCTAGTTAGTCTTCATAAATTTAAAAATGTACAGAGGTTTATAAGAAACATCTGCTGTGACTCCCTTCTCACTATCTCTAATTTTTCTGAAGTTGTAGAGAAGATTTATAGGGAAAATGTACATGATTATACATCTCCCCTTGAATATAAACCTTGATCATGTAGGTTCTATTATATTGTGAAGGTTGCTATTGCATTTAAACATAGAAGATTGAACCCAACAGATTTGGTCTCTTTGAAAAATCCTATTAGGTATACCATGTTTTTGTTTTTTTAGGACCATTTTATATGTTGCTCATAGAATTTGTAGTTTTGATACATGAAGCTGAAAACATGTAACCAAGAGTTCAAAGAATTATTAGTGTGTAAGCTCTTTTAAACATAATTTGATGCAGGATGCAGAATTTGATGATGTCAAGAATGCATGTCTTCGCTGATGTACTATCAATTGTTCAGTCAGACAATTATTATAATTAATGATATACCTACTGTAATGCAAAACCATGCAAATTCAGTTATGTATTTCAGAAAATATTTTGCTAGAAACATCATTTTAGCAATTTTCACTCATGAAAGATGAGCAGCTTTTATTACAAAAGAATAGAATTTTAATTATGTTTGAAATGAAAATACAATATATTTGAATATATGTGGAATATCATTCTCAATGTAAAGGAAACATAACTTACTACAGTATATAGCTCAAACAACCTCAAACTTTTCTTCCTGAAAGAAGCAAATGATGAATTTATTT